ACAATTTATTTCACAAAAGAGTCAAGAAAAATAATTAGAAATAAAAAAATAAAAAAATTAGAAAATATAATATCTAATAAATTAGATTTAAAAGATAAAAGTGAAAATAAGTAAAATTCGTATAAAAAGATCAAGAAAAAAAATAGAAATCATAAGAATAAAGAATTAAAGTTGAAATACTAACAACAAAAAAGAATAAATTATGATTTTAGGGGGAGAGAAAAGAAGAAAAATGAAAAGAAAACTTACTAGTAATAGATCAGACCATCAACACTGACACATGCCTCTCCACAAATAAAAAAACATGGTTGCGTTTCCAACGACAAGATGAAAAGATTATTTTTGGACATTTCAAAGCATTGTATATGCCTTTTAATATCACACATGTGCCCCATTTTTTTAAAATTTTTAGTCAAATATTGAATTGCCCTTGAGCTAATTTAATAATAACAAAAAAATTATTATGAAAAAAAAACCCTCATTGAATCCAGCATTAAATTTTTTGCACTTAAGGGTATTTTAACTATTTTATTATATTTTTTATTTTTTTTTATTTTTTATATAAGGTCAAATATCAAATTGCTTTTCAGTTAATATTATAAAAAAAACTTTATAAAAATACAAAAATACTTCTTAACGTTAGTTTTATTTAAAAAAAATTATTTCTACTAATATTTTAGTCATTTTTCTATTCAATTCAATTGAGATAAAACAACTTATTTATCTCTAGTAAGTTGATAATAACTAAAAAATTCCATGAAAAAGCTTTAATATAACTGAAAACTATTGTTTATTTTTATTTTATATTTTTGAATGAAGAGGCAAACAATGATTATCTTGTTCCAGCAAATAATATTATTAATTTTAAAGTTAGTGTTTTTTCTTTTAATTGAGTCACAGTTTTTTTCTTTTCGACACAGTGTTTCCTTTTCTTTTTTGACCAGTTAAGACAGTTATACTGGTCGCGGTCCAGCCTAGTTTTGGGTGTCGTGAGTATTTCAATTTTCAGCAAAGCAAAACATTTTAACGGTTGTCTTGACAGGACAAACATTTTTTGTCAGCTCCAAAGAAACTCGAATGTCAAATGTGTTTTCTCTCTGTAAAAATTTACAGGCCAATGCCATAGCAGTAAATTGCAAGAACACAACGCAGTTAGGTTAACAAAAAAAACAGCACAGCTGTGTCTCCGTTAGCTGCTGCTGCTTCTTCTTCTTCTTGTTTTTTTCTTTGGTCTCTGTCTTAGCTCGTCTTTCCTCATCCTTTCAGCTGTGGCCGCAACTGCACAAAACTACAGAAAGAAAAACAAAAATAGGTTAGAAGAGAACACTTCCATGAAAGAGAATACCATAAATTAGATAACATAATTTTATTTTTTTTAATTTTAGGGTGCATGGTAAAAGAAAATACTAGCCCAACTACATTAATTAACTATAAACTAAAATAGAAGAGGTATTTATTCTACCTCTCCTTACAAACTTTATAAAGTACTATTTATTGAAATAATTTTTTTTTTCAATCAAAGTTATTTTTCAGTTTTATTCTTTAATATTAATTTTTTTAAGTTATCACATTCTCATGATATAAATTACGAATTAAGCAGGTTAACTTGATTTATTAGATTAACTCGGTTGTCTCAAGTTTTTTTTAATTAACTTTTTTCTCTTTAATTTTATCACTTAATATTGGATTGATTGATAATTAGAATTCATAATTTGTTTTGTTTACTTTCTATCATGTTATTTAGCATCATGACTTAGGAATAGTACTTAAAGGATTAACTCGAGTATACTCGGGTTTTTTTTTTCTTTCTAAAAGGTTATCAAGGTCTCATGACCCTGATCATGATTCTTTCAATGTTTGATTTTATTTTTATTGAGTTATCCTCATCTTGTGATTCAAGACACGAGTTTGAAGGGTTAACCTAATTGATTCAATTTGTATTCTTTTTTAATTGATTTTTTTAATTTCACATTTAATATTGAATTTGATTGAGAATTATATTTCATTATTTGTTTTGGTTTGCTTTTTACTAGGTTATCTTAATTTTATAACTTATGAATAGCACTTAACGAATTAACCCAAGTTAACTTCTATCATATTTATATAATTCTTTTAATATAAATTTTTATAAATTTCATCATTTAACATTGAATTTGACAAGTGCGATTAGGAGTTGAGTTTCATAATTTGTTTTGATTTGCTTTCTATGAGGTTATATAAGTCTTATAACCAAAGTCACAGATTTGACAGATTAATCCAAATTAACTCATGTCATTTTTTATTTTTTTATATGAAGTTATCTTAGTATGATGATTCTGGTAATAAGTTTAGCTAATTGACTTATGTCATTTTTTGTATTCTTTTTTATTTGATTTTTTTATTCAATTTGTTTTTCATAAAGTTATATCAGTCTTATGATTCAAGTCACGAGTTTGACTAGATAACTCAAGTAGCTTTTTAAGTCTCTTTTAAATTGATTTTTTTTAATCTCACCCTTCAACACTAATTTAATTAAGAATTAGATTTTATAAGTTATTATAATTTACTTTTTATGGAGTTATCATAGTCTCATAAGCCAAGTCATGGAACTAACATGTTAACTCAGATCATGAATTTGACATGTTATCCCAAATTGATCTAAATCAATCAAATATGTTGTTATCTTAATATTAAAAAAAATATTATCTTGAATTTGTTTTAGTCAAACTATATTGTTATTTTAATATTTTCATGCATATGGTCTTAATTTAAAAACCTAGGGGTGACTGGGCAGGCCTAAAAGCCTAAGCTCAGACTTGGTTTTTTTGGATAAAAATATAAATGACAGATCACCTATTAGGCTACTACCTAGAATTTAGTAACCACTGTAGTGATTGAAAAATTGAGGGAGATGAAGCAAATCCAAAGGGTAAGAACTTTAAAACTCACCATTAAGATTAAACACAATCTAATAAAGCTAAAATTAAATTGAAAAGAACGAGACCCAATAATTATAACAAACTAAGAGCTGAAAGTATAAAGATGAATGCTACAAAGAAAAAATCTTTGATATGTTTTGAAAGTTTCATGAAGAACTAAGAATAAGAAGAATATTTTATATAGAAATTTATATATAAATAATTAATAAGTTGTGGCAACTTATAAACCAAAAAAAATATTTATAGTTTCACATGGAAAAAAACTACTAGAAAATTGGATAGGAATTAAAACCTAGATATAAACCAGTTTAAAAGTGTTTTAAAATAAAATAACAAAGTATGACCACTGCATAAAGTTGTGCAATCAAGTATTAATCATGCTAAGCAACTTTATTTATTGTTTGGATTACATTCATCAAGGTCAGATTTTTTTTTTAAACCCAGTTTTATATTTAACATCATTTTATAAAGAATTCTCGAAATTTCCTCGACCCAAACATTTTGAATCATTCCATTGAATGCCTTTTTAATTTTCTCAGTTCTTGCCCTTGTAATTGGTTCAAATAGCAAATGCATCAATTATTACGGGGGTTGAGTTTTGACAAAAAAAAAAAAATCATTTTCCCATCCATTTTTATAAAAAAAACACATAAAAAAATAATAAAAACCTTTATAAACCCAACAACATTCCAAAACCATTTACAAAACAAAAACCAACCCAATCAAAAAAATTCTAAACATACCTCGATCAACTTTTTTTTTTTCCAGGCATGTTCACAAGGGAAAATATCATTATCAAATTTTTCTTATTAAATAAAACTCTTTGAAATAAAAATTGATTATTTTTATTAACAAAATATGATTAACTAATAACTTTCTTTCTTATCTATTATTTTTCAATTATTTTCTTTCTCTTCTTTTAAATCTAAAAATTAAAAAAGAAAAAAATAAAATTTTAAACTAGATAAAAATTCTAAAAACTATGAGACTAACTATATATATATATATATATATATATATATATATTTGTGTTTTACATCGTGATCCTCTATCTTTTAGTTTTTTTTTAATTTTTGTTATAATTTGAAAATTTATGTAATGAAATTAGGTTACAAAAGGGTTAAATAAAAAAAAACTTTTAAGAGTGAATTTTCAAAAAGTGAAAATAAAAAATAAAGGTGGAGGAGGAGGGATGTATCTTACTGTTCATATATGAACAATAATAAAGCACAAGGGGAAAAACACCAAATATTTTGATTGCATGAAGAATTTTTTTAATATAAAAATACGATATATTAGAAATTATCCTGATAATATATTTTTTATATGATTATATTACCTATATTAAAAGTTTCGTCCATCATCCATATTTTTTTAAGAATATATTTTCTTTGATGCCTTAGCAACTAAAGCTTAAATAAACTTCGATCAAAATAAATATAATCAAATATTAAAATATAAATAAAATAATAAATTATTTAATACTTTTTAAAAATCTTTATTAATTGCAAACATTGTATAATTGAAAACTCTAATGAAAATTTGAGAGAAAATAAAAATTGATAAAATCATTGAATGGTAGATACTAATATTTAATGTTTATTATTACAAAATAGAAATTTATTTTTGAATCTTAACACTAATAGTTCTATAGGCTTGTTTTTAAGCACTTTAAAAGTTTTAATGGTGAAAATAAGATATTAATAAGGTACCTTATAGGAGACGAGCGATGTAAGTATATTATTTAGGATTTTAATTGTGATAAAGTTTTAAGGACTCGATGGAATTGTCGGAATAAAGAAACAAAATATGAAACTATAACCCATCCCACCCAAGATCTATAACGTTTTATCCTACTTTTTTGAAAAGAAAAAAGGAAAAAATTATTGATTAATTTCCAATTACACCATATCATAATTTTAGTTACATTTTTTTTTTTGTAACAAATCAAGGATAAATTCTAAGAAAAAGATAAATTCAGGAACTCCCATTACTTGCTAAAGTTTCCCTCTCAACGAAAAGGCTTCCTAAAAGACGAGGCAAAATGATGATTGAAGAAGTAAAATTACAGGGCAGGTCAGTTTTAGTACTAGCTGAACTGAAAACGTGAGTTGGTCACATGCGAAGGCAAGCCTACCTATAGAGGGGAGGGAGGGAGAGAGAGAGAGAGAGAGATAGCGAGGGATACCCTCCTCGTCCCGTGCTCTCTCTCTGGAAAAATCAACTTCCATCAGTGTTAATTAGCTCTCAATCAAGGGAAACATAGAAAAACTAAAATCCTCAAAAGGGACACACAGACACAACTGTTTTAGCTCAAATATCAATATTTAAACACTAACCCAACTTCGATTTCATCGAGTGCTTCAGTCCCTTTAACTTTTTCGGGTTTTTCTTTAGTTCATAGTGTATTTGTATTCTTGAAGAAGATCATAGGAGAGAGTGAGAGAATTACAGTGGAGTAGCAGGTGAGGTGAAGGAACAATTAAGAGGGACCTACTGATTAATTTTTGGCTGACAGCAACGGTCACTTTCAATGATTTTTCTTTTCTTTTCTTCATTGGATGGTATTGTTGGTTGTTGTTTGTCTCAATATCTAATCAGTAATCACACTCACAGAAGGCACACACACTTGCATTTTCTTGCTTAAGGAGAGATCTTGATTTGCAAGATCCCTACCCCTATCTTTATCAACCACTTTCACCTTGAGGGAATTTGTTTGTTGGGTTTTCTTATCTGGCAAACAAGGTGGAAAGGTTAAGCTGCTTGGGCTCAAAACGGAAATAGCAGATTTTAGTCATATGAGGAGATCTTTTACTGTAAGTTGCTTGATCATTTCTTAATTTAACTCTTCTTGCTCCCCTTTCCTTGTTTTCGCTCTCTTTTACCCTGTAGGTAAGTAAATTAGTGTATGGTTTCAAGAAAATGGTAAAGCATTGCCCTGACTCAGCTTATTTCAGTCAGAAGTACAGTCGTAAATTCAAGTACATACATAAAATGAGAACAATTTGCTTGGGGATCTGATTGAAAAGAATTACTTCTTCTCTTTCACTGTTACCAAGTGTTGATGGATAAATGTTTATTAGTTTCCTTTTCTTTGTCAAAACTATGGCTGTCTGTTCAGTTTAACATCATTCTGGCAAAATGTAGCTCAAGCGGCTTGCATTTCTATCTATCAGTAATGATATGGCATGAAATCCGTGATCTATTGCTTATGAATTGGTATAAAACTACATGTTTGCTAGTTTAAAGTTTTTCACTCTCTATATATTTTAGTAATTCTTCCAGTATTGATTCACATGGCTTGCCTTTCTTTATATTCTGTTTCCTTGGCTAGCTTTGAGTTTTTAAGCTGATCAAGGTCATCAACATTACCATACCGTACATAAGAACTCACCGTCGCTCATATGAATAACTAGAAACACAAGTAAAGAAACAAAAAAGACATAACTCAGATCTCTTACTCTACTTAATCATCTTTGAATATATCTTTTTTATTTTCAGCTGGTGGATGTGCTGCTGTTACTTGCGTTATTCGGTGATGCTCCTTGGGCTATCAAGTGCAGCTTACTTTGCGAACAGGGCGACCTGGCAGTGATTCGACCTCACAGTGTCACTATTACTGAATTTGGAGCAGTTGGAGATGGGGTCACTCTCAACACAAAGGCATTCCAGAATGCCATCTTCTATCTCAATTCATTTGCTGACAAGGGCGGGGCCAAGCTCTTTGTCCCAACTGGCCGTTGGTTGACAGGAAGCTTTGATCTGATCAGTCATCTGACATTGTGGTTAGATAAGGATGCTGTCATCCTTGGATCAACTGTGAGTCCTCACTTCCATGCCAGAGAATATGTGCACAAAATGTGTGTTAAAGTCTTTGCCAATTATCTGCAGTTATTCTATCTGGAAAGTTTGGACTGTTAATTTAGAAGCTAAAAGCTATTGTTTTTGATAAAATAGATCATACATGCATGAAAGTAAGTTATCTTTATCTGAATATGGGAAAATCTATATTCCAGGGGATTCATTTACTGATTGATGCAAGTGATTATTAACATATGATTTTTGGTTCCTTATGCTAGTTCAACTGTGCAAATTTCCCCCGGTGTAATTGGGCAAACTTTTTTTTTTTGGATTTTGGGCCCACTGTTATGACATTGTAGCTCATAATACTGAATAACTTAACCTGAAAATTCCAGAACTCTGATGATTGGCCAGTTATCGATCCACTGCCATCATATGGCCGAGGGAGGGAGTTGCCTGGGAGGCGGCACAAAAGCCTTATTTATGGTCGTAATTTATCAGATGTTATTATAACAGGTCAGTGACATCTATAAGGTCTTTTATTTATTTTTATTTTTTTGTGAGTGCTTGTTTGTAGTTAAGTATGCTGTTTTTGTAATGTTACTGGTTTCACCGTGCAGGTGACAATGGAACTATTGATGGCCAAGGCAGCATATGGTGGGACTGGTTTCGAAATCAAACCTTGAACTATACCAGGCCTCATCTGGTTGAATTTATGAACACTACTGGGGTAGTCATCTCAAACCTGACTTTCATAAATTCACCATTCTGGACCATCCACCCTGTTTACTGCAGGTTTGCCTCTCCAAATCAATCACATCGCATATCTCTTCCATATTGTTAGAATTGAAGTGTTTACATTATTAGATAAAACTGTGCAAAAGTGAAGCTTTTATGAATTAGGGGGAGTTGAGACTGTTTTTCTGGATGAACAGCCAAGTTATTGTTCAGAATGTCACGATCCTTGCTCCTCTTGATTCACCAAACACTGATGGGATTGATCCAGGTGAGCTCTCTTTGAGGCTGGAAAATGTTCATGCAGTTTATGGATGTGAAATCTATTGTTTGAGATGCAAATATAAAAAAATAAAAAATTACATTTCTCTTTGGAAAAAATCAAACTCGTGCACTGTCATGGAATGCGGCTACTACTTGCTTGATTTTTAAAGCAAGAAGCATCTCTGGAAGATGCAATTTAACTTCTTCTCATTTTCTAACCTATTTTCAATTACTTTCTGTGAATACTTCATATGGTTCTTATTCATGTGTTTAAATGGATTCAGATTCTTCTGATGATGTTTGTGTTGAGGACTGCTACGTTAGCACCGGTGATGATATAATTGCCATCAAAAGTGGGTGGGATGAGTATGGCATGTCATATGGTCGTCCTAGCAAAAACATTACCATTCGCAGGCTTGTTGGACAAACTACTAGTGCAGGGATTGCAATTGGAAGTGAGATGTCTGGAGGAGTGTCAGAGGTTCATGCAGAAAATCTCAGGTTCTACAATTCAACTACAGGTATCAGGATAAAAACGTCTCCTGGAAGGGGGGGATATGTGAGGAACATTTATATATCAAATATGAGCTTGACTGATGTCAAAACAGCTATAAGTTTCACTGGTCGATATGGAGAGCACCCAGATGAGTATTATGATCCAACGGCTCTCCCTTTAATAGAACGAATAACCATTGAGGATGTTGCGGGACAGAATGTTAAATATGCTGGCCTCTTGGAGGGCATAGAAGGGGATACTTTTCTTGACATTTGCCTGTCGAACATTAACCTCAGTGTGACCTCGAAGTCTCCGTGGAATTGTTCATATATACAAGGGTATTCTGACACGGTTTCCCCAGAAATTTGTGAGCCTCTCAGGGAGAGAATCTTCCCTGACCATTACTCAGATTGTTACTGTCTATCACATCACTTGCAAAGTTCATGTAATCAAAACAGAGATGGTGCTTGGTTGTCTTGGTAAATTTATGGAGGCATAATAGCATTGGTTCGGTGATTAATTCATCCTCTACTGTGAATGTTCAACGTAGTTCAAGATTTGATTCTTGCCATTATCCACACCGCTGCTCATTGCCTTTCAGAGGAAATGGTCGCCTGACATATAAAGTTGAGTGAAGTTGCTGATTTGTTGTTGTTGACTTGAGAAAATAGTCTTGAGAGGTGATTTTTCCTGTAGCTGTGTGCAGTAACAAATAATTGAGTGCATGTTTTTTTTTATATATATCATAAGTGGTAATAGAATGAGCTTATACCTTCAAAACCATCTCCGTGCAAAGTGTCCGTGTGTGTCTGTGGAAAGCAAAAAGGAAGAAAAAGAATGAGCATTTCACACCATTTTGGATACGGCTCGTTTTGTGATGCTGTTGGTGTTGAAGAAATTGCCGAAAATGATGGGATTAGGATGGTCTCTCTCTCTCTCTCTCTCTCTCTCTCTCTCTCTCTCTCTCTCTCTCTCTCTCTCTCTCTCTCTTACATAAGGAAAGAGGGAGAGAGAGCCATCTCAATTACGCTTGACAAAAAGCCTAATGCCGACTGCACGGTTGGTTGGAATTTACTTCTGAACCATTTATGAATTTATTTTGCTCGACAGAAGAGCCAAGCGCTTCCAGTTTTCATGTTAACGCCTCAACATTTATGATCCGTATGTTCAGGATCCAGATCCAGTCTACGAAATGGTGAAGCACATTCGAGAGAAGCTGACCTGCTTTTCATTGAAAAAAGAATCTGAACTGAGCGCTCCAGGTAGCATACATGTATACACTAAATCAATGTACAAAACTTTCTCCAAGGCTGAGAAGTCAAAAACTCAAGCGCAATAATTATTTTGGGGAAGCCTCTTGGGCATCCTTCTTCATTACAGAACACAAAACCTGCCTCGAAATATAGGTTTCGAGCTCCCTGGAAACTTCTGTCAGCTTCAAATCAAAACTGCTACCGTATTTATTCTTTGGCGAAGGTATGTACCCAGAAAACATGCTTTGGGAGCCAGAAAAACGCCTTCTTGGACTTGAGAGGCTTCCAGGTGACACCGGAACCCTCCCTTTGGAAATAAGTGGTGTTGAACCTGACTCCACATTGATCATATTCTTGTTTTGGTTCATCAATGGTCCACATTTAGTCTCCGACGGTAGGGGCCTTAATGAATTTGGTTGCTCGACTGGTTTCTGTTTCATAATCCTTTCTCTGGCCTTCTCAGCTGCTAGCACAGCTTTCTCTCTGCTCAACTTGATTAGTTTCCATGGATTGATGCTTGCATGAAAGCCTTGTTTCCTCGTTAAGTTGGAAGACTCAGGATCCCCCCTATCAATTTTTATTGACAGACTTGCAGGGTTCTGAAAATAAATTAACCATCTAGTAAGGTTGATATTATCTCTTCTCAAAGTGCAATATAAGGTTGGCAGAGTCGAATATACCTCATTTTCTCTATGGCCACAAAACCGTGAAACAATTGGTGATTCTTCAGGAGAGTCAAAATGGCCACAAAACCGTGAAACAATTGTTGATTTTTCAGGAGAGTCAAAATCCGAGTCTGAAGAGAGATCTGAATCTTCCAATGGATCTAGTTCCATTGATTCGTTCACCTCTTTCATGGCCAGGATATAATCATATGTTCTCATTCCCTGCAACAATAAATAATCACAATACTAACTTAGACTAGGGAAGCAATTGATAGAAAAACTTTAAAGTGCAGTAGAGGAAGACATACAAAATATTTTGGTTTTATTGTTTCTAAATCTAAACCTGCACGGATTTGCAAGCATCCTTTAGTGTTCAAAAGATGTTTGTCACTTGAGATACTGATAATTGATCCTTTGCTAGAAGAAATCGAATAAATTAATCCTTAATGTCATCCTAAGTGACACAAGCCACTACGCAGAGGGGGTTTGGCATATCAAGGGAATAGCTTTAAGATTTGATTTCCAGTATCCTTGTATGGTTCAAGGTATCAGTATCTATCATGCGAGGGAAGCGGTCCCATGAATCTGCCAAAAGAAAGAGAGTTGCGTTTGAAGGAAACTGTCATTTTCCTTGTATTCCTAACACCAAGCAAGGCAAGTGCCTGTTTTTTGGGCTTCAATGTCCACCTTTTCCCGTTGCCAGAAGGAATCCTTAACATGGACAGAATAGGCACTGCTGTTTCTCGTTGAATTAATTGTTGAAATGAACAATGATGGCTGGATGCCGAAGTTTCGTAGCCATCCAGTCCTGGCTTTACCTCACTAACCCAACACAATTGATGTTTTTGGTGATATTACAAACCATTATAATTACCTTGCGTATGAGAACCACATGAAAAAAGAAAAGTTGTCCCATGGCTGCTGAACTGTAAGCTGTCATTAAAACCAACAAAACCTGTAACATTGTGACAAGTAGAAGCCAATGAATACCCAAAATTAAAAAAAAAAATGATAACATCCACTGAACGTAACATAAGCTGTATATTACTGATATTGTGGCAAGAACCCCTCTTGGGAACTCCACATGTAGCCTCCTCTCCAGCTCCCTTTCTATTCCTTTCTTATCAGTAAAGCACCTTATAAATATGGCAATGGCAGTTCCTCCTTCTATGATTAACTGTACAACAATTTGATTGAAAAGAACTCCAGTTAAGAACTGAACTTCCATTAGGAAACATAATTTGTTGGTCTCAAACAATCTAAAGACACAAAGCTACTGACCATTAACAAGACAAATATCATTAGAAGAAAGAAAGTTGTGTAATTCCTCTTGCCAACACAATTGTTTAACCACTGGATCACAAAAATTGAACTTCATGAGAAACTAATGAAGAAGATGATCGATAATTCAACCTACAAAGATACACCCAGACCCTTACCCTGCAATGGTGATCAAACCCTTCAACACACCTGTTACAGGCTCTACAGTGCTTACTTCGCTTCTTTACCTGAGACATATATATTGCAGTCAGCTATGGATCCTTTAAATCTTAGCAAAACTGTTAAAGATACGCCTAATGAAAGCAGATATGCCCAGACCTCAAAATCACATAGCGAGCAATAAGAGATGTCATCATCTTTTGGGTCAGGTGAAACTGCATCATCCTTCATGACAAGTGGAAATGGAAGCAATGGCTCCATTTGAGCATTGGCTTTCAATGGGTCCAAATACTTTCTCCTTATAAAGGTTTTAAGGATCTTTCTTTCCATCTTTCTAAAGAACCTCATGATTATTTGATTCAATATAAACCAATAATTTAACTGTGGAAACCCATCTGATTTAGCTCTTTTTTTCTTCCTAAACCTGGTCTTATCAGTCGGATCAATGGCAGTACACCTAACAAACAGGAACATAACTGAAACTGCCTGAAAAGAACAGGAATTGAGTTATGGGTTAGTTTTCTTGGCTAATAGGTAAAGAAAGAACAGATTTTAGGCTTGTTTTGACATCAACATTACCACAAAAGTAAAGATTGCAGCGACTGTAATTTCAGCAATTCTGTTTCCAAGGAAAAGTCCAAGGAATGTATAGAAGGTCACGACCAGAAAACTGTAAACTGCCATTCCCATCATCTGCATAGCAACAATGAACAGAACAGATGGATGGTTTAAACTTCAAACAACACTGACATTAAAAAAATTAAGAATTCAGCAGATAGGATATTCACCTTTTTTTTTTCGTTTTTCAAGTACAAAAACGAAAAATTTAGCAAGTTTTGGGTTACTTAAGAGGTGATTGAAATAAAGAAAGAGCCTTTCTATATTCATACAAAAACCCAACATGAGAATATTAGAAGGTAACATAGCTTTAACAATTCATTTTTTCAATATACAGAGAGATTGAAGTTAAAAAAAGAAAAGAAGAAAAGAATGCGGGGCGTACCTGTAGAGGGTGGAGAGGGCGTTGCCAGCCATGGCGCCTCGTGGCCATGGATTGATCTCTGTTTTTCGAGTTGTGTATTTCTTGTTGCAGTTTCCGACTCCGAAGTAACACAGAGAATTTGGGGGTATGATTTTAGTTGCAATCCATAGAATTTTTGATAAAAATTGTTGGCCTTGAGTGAGCTAAAGCTAAGTGCTGTTTAGATGAATCTTTCGCTTGAAGTCGACGCCGAGAGTAAAAAAATGGGAACAACTATCCCCTCCCTCGTCCAACGGTCGACTATTGGGGAGGGTTTTTTGAAATTTGAACGGCTACTTTTAGAACTAGGAAGATCAAACGGCCCTAGTAGTTAACTTCAAAAAACAAAACAAAAAAATATTTGGGACCCAATAGAAATCACTTTCACATGTTCGGGCCCCCAGCGCTTATGCCATTGCTACCAAAGCTATAATACCTCAAATTAGGCTAGGGTTACAAGCTTGGTGATGGATTTTGATTAACTCGATGCAAGGTAGTTTCAAAATTAAAAAAAAAAATTAAAATAATATTATTATTTTTTTAAAAAAAAATTTAGATTTGATTTCACTTGTATTTTGATAAGGTAGATTAAATCATGTGTTAACTCGTTAGATCAATTTGATTTTATTAAATCGATTTTTAAATTGTCTTAATATAAAATTTAACCAAGACATGTTTTGGGTTAACAAATTATTAATTTCCAAAACATGCATAACAAAAGATAAAATTCTTATCATTCTATCTTTCCCTTTCCCTTTCACCCAATCTACTTTCTTTTCTTTTTAATTCGCTGCTATTGACTACTAACCTTTAATTCAAACTTTAATTATATTTAATTTTAAATAAGTTAATCTTCTAATTTATTAAGTTTAGTCAAATTTTATTTAATTTGTTTTTCTAACAAATAGTTTTTCTTTGTTTGAAGAAAAACAAGAGGGTTGGATTTATAGAGTAAAGCAAAAAAAAAAAAAAAAAAAGAGTAGAGGAATTTACCTTCTCATATTACTCAATTAAATATAAGGTACAAACCAAATAAATTGGACAAGTTTGTATGACCGTGTTATGCCTACCGGGGAACAAAAAAATTTTAAGTGCAAGAAAATATATATTTAGGTTTGAATAAATTCTTTAACAATGTTATTAAACTAGAAAATATAATTATTTTAAATTTTTTTAATTAAGTTAATTTTTTTTAATATATTTTTTGTTTATCTTAACAAGCATAAAGTTTTTAATTAGAATCATAGATTTTATTAAAAAAAATATATTTTTATGATTGTTAAAGTAATTTAAAAAAAAAATCTTGTTGATAAAATCATGTTGAGGATTTATTTAAAAATTTTTAGAATATAAAAAAATGAATTGAATTTGCATGAACAATTTATTATTAATATTATTATTTTTATATCAAAGACATAATAATTGATTTTTTTTGTTAAAATTCAAATAAAAATTTATAATATTATTAAAGAATAGCAAAACTAAAAATTAAATGAATCTAGTAATTTTTTTAATGCAAATAGAGAAAATAAAGGATATAAAAGGCTTAGGTCAAGCATATAAATGCAAAAAAAAAAAATATATATAAAAGGTTCAGTTCCAGCACATAGTCCATAATAGCATGCTAAGCCCGCGCATCTAGTCTTTTTTTTTTTTTTATTGTGGTTTACCTTTAAAAAAGAAAAACAAATAATATATAGTGTAAAAATAAATACTAATTTTAATAGAATTCGAACTCATAACTTGCACCCACCCTACACATGACTCAATCAACTAAACTATTATATAGACTTGTCAGAAAAGTCTATAAATTATATATTAAAGTAATTTATTGTTCATATAAAAAATAAATCACCATAAAAAACCTCAATTTTTTTAGAATGTTTAGGTAATCTACCAACTCTACACAACAATTTCTTCAAAATAGAAAAAATAAATTAGGTTAAAATATAGTACTGTTTCCTGATTTCACTATTCTTCTTCTTTTTCTTTGAATACTTTAATAAATAGTTGGTTTTTTTAGTCCTCAACTTATTCCCTAGCAGCACGTCCTTGTTGATCCATAACGAATTCAAGCCTTTTAGATGTACCAAGCGTCCAAACCTACTCCTCTGTTGAACTTTTTCACATTAGCAATATTATCATAAAGTTTCAATAAATTAAAAATTAAAGCTTAATAACACATACCTCCAACCATGCTAATTACACTCTAATTATGAGAGGAAAACATGAGTACCAAACTGTTGAAAAGAATTGAGAAGTCTATTATCTAGTTTGTTTGATTCCTTAATATGTACACTTGATGGAAAAATCACAACCTTTCTTATTAGACCATAAACCTTTTTTTTTTATGAAAATTTCATGTATCATCTAAAATTTTTTATTCATTCAGAAGAAGATATATTGGAGAACACCAAAAGTCCAAAAAAAATCAAATTTATCAATCTAATTTTCAAAAATGTTTTTACAATTAAAATTAAAAAAGAAAATATACAATTTACAAAACCTTCTGAAATCATATTGATATTAAAGCCTATTAAGATCGAATAATAATGTTGTATAAAACTTTAAAGATCTGACTCTGATAAGAAAGAAAAAACCTTAGAATCTTAGGTCAATTCTACTAGAAAGTGTAAGTCCCGGATAAGAGTTGAGTAGGACATTAAAGTCATATAATTTGGAACAAATTTGTTTAAGCAATCTTATTATTCTTATAGATTCTATTTTTTTCATGGCTATTTTTTCTCAGCCTCCTTTACAATTAGTTCCTCTGAAAACAAAATAATTATTAACAATGAAGAAATTACTATTAAAGATTTTACAATAAATTATTGATGTATAAAAGAATTAGATTTGTCAAACTTCTTCATTCAATATTTTCAACACTAATTTTATAATTAAAACTAAAAAAAAGAGATATACAACTCACAAAATCTTTTAAAACCATCTAACTTCTTTCCCAAAAATTCTTATAAAAACACAAAGATATAAACTATAAATATATCCATATTGGTCTTATATAAGTAGGAATAAAGCTCCTCACCAAAGAAGGCCAAAACACTTATGTCTTTATAAGTTCTCAAAGATGCTAGATTGTATAATTTCCAAGATTCTTTATTAAGTTCTATAGAATCCAGTCTATACAGTATTTCTATCTCTTTTGATTGTTATCGAAATTTTACAATATCTCTCAAAGACAAAAGCATACTATAAAGTATACTTCTACAAACAAAAACCTATAGTTACAATATACTTGAAGGATCAATTCTAATATATGTTCTTTGCCTTTGCCAACAAACATAAATTTCAAACTCAAAAAGCCTTACTTTTATAAATTTCAATCTTAAAAAGGTGAAACCTTACTTTTACAAATAGACTTTTCAAAATCAAATACAATTATAGTTAGAGCTATCCAATGAAAAGATATAACCTTATTAGAAGACTAAATTCTTAAAGGAGCAACCCATCCTGAACCTATAAAGCCCCTACAACCAAATGTTTAACTAAAACAAATAACCCAATACAATGATGACAAGGTCAAACTAACCTTTTACAGACATTTAACTAGTTCCAGACTCTTATATGAATCCTTTTTATCCATCACTTTTAATTTAGAAAAAACCTTTGAGATCTCATTTATTATAAATATAACTTACCATACAAACCACTCTAGAAAATCAAGCTTTGATATTTCTAGTACCAATTTCTAAAATATAGATTATATCACAAATGTACCCAATCTTTTATATACAAATCTAGAAAATGACCAACTATTTAATACTTAAAAGTGTATTTTATTAAGGTTTTATATCATTATTTTGCATTTAAAGTATTAATAATTCCTTAACTAGAACATATTTTATAATATCATATCTAATACTGTAAGATACTTTTAATTTATGGTAAATGTTCATCTTAAATACAGGCCTATCATATAAGTGAAAGGATTGATTGATGAGTTTAACTTTTGAAATTTAAAAGACAAGGGGAGGGTCAAGTTTAGGAAAGAGATGCTGGTTCAATCCAAACTAGAACATTGTTTGATCATTAGATCATAACTAGAGTTATAGAACTTAGATTTTTTTTTTGTTGGAAAGCTTAGATAATTTTCTAGAACTTTCATAAAGATAGTCTGTTCAAATTCTGATGTTAGCAATGATGTTTTGTTCAGACAAGAAGATAAGAATTGTCATCAAGTCAATATATGGTCACTCACTCAATAATTAGTCAACAAATCAATAGTTTCAAATTTTAACCTATAAAAAGAGGCATTTGCCATGCATTTAGGTATCTTGGATTTCAGATCAAGATTATGTTCTTACTCTCTTTATATTTTTGTAATGCTTGAGTTTTTCTTTCATTAATCTCTTGTTTATGCCTTTTATTTTCTTTCCTTTACTTAATTAACTTCTATCTTATTTATATTCTTATCTTGTTTATTTATGTTTTTCTTCTTTATTATGTTTAGCTAAGTTTATCATGTCAAGGTAAAAATGGTATACTAATGGTGTAAGAATAAGTATAATATAAACTCAACATGGACTTTAATATTTGATACTAACATGTTTTATATTTGTTATCTTATTCACTTTTAATAATTTGCTTGTTAAATGGTTAATCTAGATTTATGTTATATAACCCTTAGTACAACAAATACTCGGCGCTTTCATAGCCTAACAGTATGGTATAACCGATAATTGTGTTATGAAAAGACCTTGATTTGTATAATCATGAATACATGACAATATTTACAAGTATTAGCATTATTCGAATAAGATAACTAATGTAATTATGTTAACAATTTATAATCCGATTAGAACATTCTTTGTGTGTGGTTTCCAATTGAGTAATAAAAAAAGTTTATACTATACTTATTTGAAATGACATTAATAGATCCTCTAACCTTAATAATTATTTAATCCTTATATTAACTTACATGTAAAAGTTCTCTTCAACTCATAATCATTATCATTGTCATCATCATCATCATCATTATCATCATCATTATTATTTATAAAATTAACCTCCCTGTAGTTCGACCCCGATCTTGCCAAGTTATTTATTACTTTGACACTCTTACATTTGAGAGAAAACACCAAACTCTTTAATCATGTCAAGTTTTTGACATTGTTGCAGGGGAGGTAAATTCTTGTATAAATTATAATATTTATTTTATTTTCTCTTTTCACTTTTCTTATATCTAACTTTATTTCTTTTGTTTTGTTTCCTTTTGTTTTTTTTTTCCTTTTATTCTCTTCCTATACGTGCATGAGAGTTTGATTACATATATTAAATGGTAG